CAGTATTGACCGTTGACAGCTCCTGCTGCTGGAGATGCCAGCATTCTCCAAGACAAGTAAATCGGCACAGTAATTTGTGACGTTGACTCACTCGGCTCTGCTCATTCGATTGCAACTCTGTTGTCAAGCCACATCGTCGTCCGCACCAACAACTCATCACTCTGCAGCACTCACTCAACTAATTTGTCTCAGATCACTCACAGGCCCACAAGTGAGCACATCTGAGCATCTTCACGACGTCCGCCTTGACTTCCGTTTTGGTTCCAACGTGTACTCGACCCTTCAGCACATGCCGTCGACATGCCGGGGATAAATGTAACAATTTAGTTTCTGCCAGATCGTTCTGCTTATGTGTTGTTGCAAATCATCAACTGAAATTGCTCTTGGTTCCATTTGCCGCTAAAGAAAACCTTGACGTAGCCATCGAGATATCCGAATATAATCAGGCACAACTGATAACCAGACTATATCACAATGCAACACTCACATCAAACTAAGCACCGATACTAGTGCCTACTTGCACAAAAGTAAAAACATCTGTGAATTGTCGACTTGTTAATGACTTAAACGACAGATGCATTGGTTGGGGTGGCTGTCGACGCAGTTTACACAGACACCACCTACTCTCGTCTCAATAACTCGCCAACTCTGATAGAAATAAAAAAATTGTAACATGGTTTGTGTGCATGTAATGTCATTCAGCCATCAACAGAGCAATAGAAAGCAAATACAACGGTTTTGAAAGGAACACAGTACACATGGTTGTTGTGGAGGACACGTCCGAAACCTGCGTCAACGACCCCGTCGTCGATAGGTGATGTGCAGATGATCGCTCAACTCAGCTTCAGCTGTGCTTGATGTTTGCACATGCAGATGGAGTTCCCTGCCATCGTATGTGTACGTCCGAACAGCCTATCCAATCAGAAAAAGAAAAGGCACAGGGATTGTTTCGTTCCAAACGATTCGAGAAAAAAAGTGATCAATGCGTTTGGCGGCTAAATGTGTGCATCGCACACGATTCCCAACCACGGGGAAGTGACGCAGTGTGGGGCTGATCCAGGCCATTTTTAATAAAGGCTACATCGTTTTGCTTTGGTTTGAGTAGTGAAAACATTTGTTTAGAATTGGTTTTGCCTCTAAACGCAGGAAATCAAACTAAAAATTTTGACGGTGGAGAGGTCAACGAAGTTACAGGTGGGATGCAGTAAAACTGAGGAATCACGGTGATGGCAAGATGCGATTTTTGTAAACAGCCTCGACGTATTTTTCGACAAATAAAATTAAGCACAACCCGTTTCGCGAATTCCGGAGAAGCGAGTCATTTGATTTATGGAAACGAAGGCACAATGAGAAGGATTACCTGGTGCCAATTAGACACATCACTTCGACCGTAATCAACCGGTTTTGACACAGAGCATTTTACTGTCAATTCGCTTGAGGTGAGATCAAATAGTGGATCGCAGAAAGAGTAGCGGCAATAGTAAGAAAGTGAAATTTGCTACGTAACTGCATTCCTCACAACGGTAATGGTTTGAGCACAACGCCAAAAAGAGTTTGTAATCGAAAATTTGAAAACAAACTGGCCTTTACGGACAAGTGTATAAACCAGCCAGGAGCAAGCAGCGCGGTGGAGAAGGAGATGCCAGGTAATAAGCAGCATTTCAACATCTGACCACGTTGATTTGAAAATTTGAAAATGGCATTGGTAGTGAGGTGGACGAAGTTGAAGGCGGCCAATAAGGCCAGCAAACATTAAGACGTGAAGTCTTAAATGTTCTCATAATCCTTTAAACGGCACCGCATTAAGACCAAGGCACTGTGGTTAACCGGATGCAGTAAATGTCACCTATGACGTCAATAATCACACAAACCGCTTTTTAACTCAAAGAAATTAAATAAAGGCGTCTTGTTGACAATTTGATTGACGTGGTGAGAAAAAAAGCGCATAATGCTGCAGCAGAAGCACAAAAATACTAATCGTGACGAGTCAACCGTGTTTGTTAGAGCAGAAACAACTTGTAACCGAAATTTGGAAAAAAAGCTTTGACGGGCAGGCATTTAAACCAAGGGGCAGCAATCAGCGCGGTGGAGAAGAAGATGCCAGGTATTAAGCAGAATTTGAACTACAGAAGAGGGCTTGTTTCAACGCAGTAATCTGGCGCATGCAAAATCTTCCTACTTTGATTTAAAAATTCGATCAATGGGTGGCAGGATGCGGTAATTTCGTCACCGTTTGTTAGCCAATAAGCGGTTAATTTCTGTTTATTCAGAAATCAGGTGATCGAATGCATGTTGCTCTACTTCGTGCCCACAAAAGGCTAATCAACTCTTCCAATCTCGTCCACAGTTGCAGCACCACACATGTCAATTTTAGTGGTCTTCATCGATAGTAAAATTCAGCCGACAACAGACTCTTAAACACGATTGACACATCCACACAGACTCCTTCATCTCCCAGTGCGTTCACAGACTTGAACAACAACTAGGGTCAGAGTCTTGTGACCGACGTTGTCACTAATCTCATGCCATCTAGAGAATATCCGTAAGGGTAAAATGAATTTAGGCGCATTTGAGATAGGAAATTGTGGCGAAAAAGCC